CCTTTAGTAGGGATATATAAGCGGACTAAAAAAGTTTTTTTGTCAAGGTTAGCGCACTTCCGCCAAGAGGCTATCTTATTCATCATGGAAGCTTACCTTTACAAATTGCTCAGCCAATCGATTATTGGCTAAAATTTCACTACCGTTTTGTAATAACATCAGCTGCTCGGCTATAATGGCGACATTTTTATCAAGTGCGACTTTACGTTCAGCAACTACCTAAAAACACATTTGCGTACTAACAACGAGAGAGATAAATGCCATAACTGGCTGAGGGATATAGAGGACATTTTTGAGGGAATTTGAACAGCCCCGCAGTTAATTGGAGGCTCATCACGTGATCAAAACAAGTTCTCATTCAGCAGAAAAATGAGAAAAGCGAAGGGTATGTCCCTATTGGCCTAGCTGGGTATAGTTGCGCCGCTTGCGCCGCTGCCCGCCCACTCCTCGTCGACCGACTGCAGGCGTTTAGAGAGACACAACGTTAGTGCTTTTTCTTTATCTAGTGGAGTGTCTTTTCTCCCTAAAGGATATATTGTTGCTATGGGGTTCCTCAATCGCTGCACCACCGCATCCTCAGTTTCAGAAAGGCTCGTCTGAAACGGGTATGCTAATCGTTACCGGAAATGTGGATAGCATGTAGTTGCTCACCCCGTAGATATCGAAGAAAAGCCGTAGCTAAGCAAATAGAAATCCCCAAAAGGATGGAAGTAAATCGTGTGAAGAACGATAGGAGAAGGCCGAGGCATATGTGGTAACAGATGCACATTGTGGGCTGCCGTTATATCTTCCTATGCATCGCTCAGGACCCCTACCTCCCTTTCAAAAAACGAGAAGAGCGTCGGGTGCAGACCATACACCACAAGTGACGACGGCCTCCACAAAATGTAAATGTTTTCTGCCAATGAAATGATTAGCCTGTTGCAGTTGTATTCTATCAGTTGTCACTAATTACAACTATCATTTACCAAAAATCACTATGAACCACTACTAACCAGATTTACTTGGAGGCCGTCGTCACTTGTGGTGTATGGTCTGCACCCGACGCTTTTCTCGTTTTTGAAGGGAGGGTGTGTAGAACAAGAGCTTTCACTTGTGTACCTGTCGTTTTTGAATATATTCGACGCTAAGAACTAATGGTAAGGAATGATGTGGTAGCAGTTACGCACCTTGTGTTCATAATTTGCCTCTATATGGAAGAACATAGCCGCTCCAAGCAATGTGTACACAAGCACGAGAAGAATCATGCATACATGTCGGAAACCGTATTTTCGTCGATTATGCACCAACCAGTAGATGGAACGGTGAAATTCTAAACTGCGTATTTGAATTTTCACAAGAATGCTTAGTCGTGAGCAAAATTTGGTCCCAGGCGGTGTTCGTAACCAAAGTTCGCCCTTATACACTGCGTTTCATAATTATAGGTCCACCCTAAATTTTTGCTACCCCAAAGTTGCTGTGCATTTTTTGGAAATGCTGCTATCACCATTAGATTCCTCATCACGGAAAACCTTCATAGTGTTTTTCTGACAAATTCCCCCCTCAAGTAACCCAATTAACTTTTTTAGAACGAATTTTCACCGTTTCATGAATATCGGGCCACTCATAAAAAGTTTCCATTTCTCACGATCCGTGAAGGGAATCAGGGAAGCGGGGAAATATGTGGGCTCAGTCGACATCGAGTTTACCATACCTCGTGTTATTCGCCTCTCTTCCCAGTAACAAGCTCAAGCTAGAGCACTTACTGAAGTGGGATAGCTGAGGAGCAGAATTTCCTCCCATGTCGGCCGGCTCATACTGCATAAGCCGACTATGTGCAAAATTCCTGGTCATGTGGGAATAAGAAGTCGCTCAGTGCAGGTGAATAATGACTGGCGTTTCTTTTATTGTTGTTGTATCCTTCAAAGTTAGGAGGAATTGGGTGCGTTTTCTCTCGAATTGTGTAAGGGGTCCGAACAAAGTTCGTGCTGAAATACGGCCTTCCGTGAGCAAAACCACCGTGTGGTGTGTACGTCAGCGAAGCAATACATCTTCAGCGGATTGATGAAGAGCGTTCCAAGATTATTTGAGCGCTACAAGATCGCACGTCTCCATTTCTCCGTGGAAAAGGGCTCAACTTAATGAGCGATGGTGTGGCTGTTAAGACCCTTCGCGATCTTGGACTCTACCTCCTTGTTTCGTTCTACAGGTGGTCTGAGATCGACGTGGAAAAGTTTATTCTAGGTGGATATGGCAGAAAAAGAGGGTACAGGATGATCGCGTGAAAATCGCAGATGGTTTCAATGTAACGTAATTTCGGCGGTGAATCCCTTATGGTTTGAGGCACCTTTGAACGACTGAGTAGCTAGAGCTCGCTTTTGTTTCCGTTCACAAAGATTCCACAGGGTATCGTGAAGTTCTTTCGAAGCGAGTCTTACCATTTTTTCAACAAGGATCCCCTCTATCCTTGATTTTCACACACGATAACGCGGCTGTCCATGCCGGTCCCTCCGCGCCAGATGGAATTGCAGGAAAAAATGTGGCAGTTATCTGGTGGCCACCATGTTATCTGAATTAGATTCCAATAGAGAATCATTGGGCCTTAATTGTTATAAAGTTCCACAGCAAAGTAAAGCAAAATGGAACAGCCGAAAAGCTGAAAAGGTCGATCATCGGCGCCCAGACGAATTTCGATCCTACTGTAATAGCTAATTTGGCTACCAGCATTTCAAAACGTATTATTGTGTTCCTTATGATTATTGGGGGGTCATCCCATTATTGAAAATTCGTGACGTTTTTTCGTTATAGTAAAATCTCTCGACAAGTGATGTGTAGTCATATTTGCGAAACGGTGAAAATACGTTCTAAGGAAGATATTTTAATAATTCTGAATCGAGATTTTCTCCAGAAATCAAGTATCAAGGTTTTTCGTTATGGGGAAACTATTGGTAATAGCGGCATTTTTCCAAAAATGCACAGCAACTTTGGAATAGCAAAAAATTAGGGTGGACCTATATTTTATGAAACGCAGTGTATTATTGGAAAATATTACCTCGCCACTCATGACACCACCAGGTGTGAAAATTGGGTGGATCTGAAGTGACCGACTGGCATGTGTAGGGCACCCCTCTTTAATCAGCAAGAGATATGCTCTAAAGCTCGTAAGTTTTGCTGCTAACTCAAAAATTACCTTTGGATGTGAACCCCGGATTTTTTATTTTCTATGGCGTGTGTTTTTTTTTTCAGACCCGTCGGCGAAGCCCATAGTCTGCTAACGTTTCCAAACCTTAGAACTTCACACTGAGGTAACAATCGCAATGATACGATAAAAATCAAAAAAAGCTCACGTCTCGTTGTCACGGGTGGATTTGTTGCCACTGACGGTTTGTTTATTGTTGTCATTGACGTCCGCTTAAGAATATAGTCTGGGGTACCAAACAATGAGTCGTAGTTCTTCTCTAAAAAATTTACCTTCAACTGGGGTCATATCTCTCTTTAAGAGCAGATCCAAAGTTTCGTTAATTTCATATGAGTTTCTCAAGCCCCGTAGAATGAAGGATATAGGGCTTGGCGTTGATGCATCCCTTGTAGTATGCGCCACACATTCCAATTCCACTAGGAATGGCTGCATTACTTGAATCTCTTACTGATTTATACATCCAGTGGTATGCAGCTACGGGTTTTTCGCCGTCACAGATGAATTTGAAACCATCTCGTTGCATGTGGATGGCTTCAAAGGTTAGGCGAGAAGTGATGGCTGGCCCTATGCGTGGAAACTCACACCTCTGGCCTTACTGTCCTCAGATGAGTATGAGAGTGGTATACAAACACGAGGAAAGGGTAAGCTAGTGATCGATGTCGTCCTGGGAAAGAAAGCAAAAGAAACAGTCGAAAACACTTAAAGCTGGGCTCAGACGTTCTGAGGGATCGTGTGTAGTTTGAAGGTGATACGAAAGAAGAAAAGACGACATAGAGGGGTCTATTTTGGTTAGGGGGAGGGGGATTGCGGTGCACAGTCTGCTCTAATGCCAGTTTGGCTCAAGGAGTCCTTTAAAGTTACGAAGTGCTATCAGCTTTTTCCTACGTTGTTTCTTCTGGTTTTTGTATAATGTATGTGTTCTTGTGCTTTGTAACATAAACGTCAATGAAAAGTAATATTTACCTAGTGATCAGCTAGGACTAAGCCTAGGAAGGGGGAGGAAATCCCTCCCCGAGAAAGCGAAGATTGCTCACGAACCCGGGGTTTTCCCTCCCTTCTGAGGCTTAGTCCTAAACCTTTATACTAAGGGAATATGCTATGAGTGGCTTATAAACTTGGTGGCTGCTAAACCGCATGCCCACCCCCTTAACTGGAATGGACCCAGGAAGAGCTCTACTTCACTAGAGGGAATTCAATTGGCTACCGGTCACGGCCGAGATCTAGGTGCTTTGGTAAGACCGTCGCGCTCTTCTCGCGCTATTTCGAGCGGTTCAATGCTAAATTGGCGACGGTCGCAAACAGCTTCACTGTACATACCGAAGAGATTACTCCAGTGGTCCCATCCCAGATTTCGTCTTCGATAGCCAAGACACAGAGGAATTGGGTTGAAAATCTCAAAACTGGTACCACAACTTCAGTCCAGACAACATTGACGGAATTCGCCTACCTACTGACTTCACTGAGCAGAGATTGAACCTATATGAATCTCTGATCCTCAAGGTAAGTACACCATGGCGCTTTCTAACCCTTGAGTTACAACCGCTTGCCGTCGCGGCTAGTGCTTCAGGAAGTTTCCTGGACAGAAATCTCACCGGTTTATTGGCTTCAGACATTTGACTACTCGATAAGTGAAGAAATGTATGAAATGTACGTGATCGGTAGTGGTCGGCTGTCAGCAATAAAGAAAACAAGAATTTTACGGCTCGAGTTGACGAGGAGTGTTGATGTCAGAACCGGAGTAATAGTACAATAATTTGGCTCGTTTATTGCCCTGTGTTAGTGTTCCTAGCGCCAGCGGCACCGTACCAGTACAACAACATGGTTGAAGTTTTATTGAGTACTGCTGGATGTACTTGAAAACGAAAAGAGACTACTCAGGTGCAATTTTACATGGCTTGATATTTGAACCCTGTTGGACGAGTATACTGAAGGTCAAAAAAGGTTGATTCAATCGGCTTTATAAGCTCCTTTCCTGGATGCGCCAGCCCTCCTACTCCTCACCAGAATTGCCGTGGCATTTGATTGCGGGTTGGCTCATTAAGTCATTGGAGAGGGAGGGGGTGACTATTTAGCACAATTCGAAACTCTGCCACCTGAGAAATCTTGCAATCACCCAACACCTTATTTTTCCCATGCCTCCAAGGACATGCCACCCTCTTCCGAAATACGACTCTTTCCAGGATTCGCAAAGCGCGAGCCCATCGTTGAAAAATTCTAACGGCGATTGACACGCTGGCGGGTGGTTGAATCTGCCGTGATCCCAAATAATCCCAGATGCTCCTTAAAAAATGAGCAAAATTTATGGATAGGGGAACTGGTAGATTCAGAAGTTATTGTTTTCCTCTTATAGAAGTCTAGTACCAATTATCGACTCTGGAGCATGGAAGGGACCCTGTTCGATAACCGGAAAGCGAGTGACACTCCCCGGAATTCCATCATACGTACTCCGCTTGAACCGGGTGAGCCGTTCGCCTCATCAGGTAGAAAAAAGCAGACCAGGGTCAACGTACGTTCGAAACATTTTCGGGATTTTGCGGCCCCCTCTGGAGGGGTCTTCAGTTGCGGGACCCCAATACAGCATCACCCATCGCAACTTTCATCTTCTTTATAAGTACTTGATTGGGAACAGTTGACAATCAAAAAGCCTACCTTAAAGCTTCCGATACCCCATCTTCCGCAAAATAGCCGCTCGAGGGGGGGTATATACAACCACTGAAACGGCAACTTTTTTCACACACCCTCTGCCCTACCTGATGACCGAAGCGCGTAATGCCCCTTTTCCCTCCCAGAACCCAAATGCGACCCCCCCCGTTCGAACTGTTCGAACGAACGGTTGCCTGCAGGAGACAGTTGCTTGTTTCATTTCTGGAAGGGGGTTGCGTTCAATAGCTTGATCTTCGTTTTGTGAAAGGATGGAATGAGAAGTTTACGCAATCGGCAAAAGTTTAGCGGGATGAAGTGTGTGAACCCTCCTAAAGAGCGATCGGAGTGGTCAATTATCTCAACGCGACATTTTGACTTTCCTGGCCCAGAAAAATGATCGTGAAATGCAAGTACATCTGATATTGAAGGGAAGTGATTGATCAAAATAAACCATTCAACGGCAACATACCGTTTGGAAAATTGTTTGCATGACGATCGTAGTATTCATTGACGGCCCTGAAGATATCCTGTTCGTGTTTGCCGTTGGTGAGCGACGGATTGGAGCTGTTCGTGGTTGAGCTTGAACCTATTGAATTCCTCTTGCTCAACATTGCATGGTCCTTGGCTGTACCGTGCAGGGAATATTTCCGTGACGGCTGCTCGGAGAAGCTTTGTGATCGAGCCTTTCTAGAAGAACTGTAATTAGACATGAGAATTGCCGCGGCGTTACTGAATAGGACGTAGAGGTACACTGAAAAACATTTGAACAAATGGACTCAGGCGCTCAAGTTCACGCCTTGTCTCGTCCCCATAAAGTTTGCCCTTTAAGGGGCATGTGGCCCTGTGGGGGCGGAGTCAACCGTCTGCTCGGACCAGGACCTACTGTACGAATTTTACCGAGGAGGTATCCGTATTTTGCGCATCGTCCCTTGGAAGAGGTCTTGTTTTGGAAGGCATGAGAAGAGTTTTTTGCTGCGAAATTTGACGGAGATCCAGCAGCATACTCTCTCTATGCTCGACGGACTTTCGAAGCTTTCTTCTTCTTTTGTTTGGGGGGGGGAGGGGGGGCTCGAAGCGTGTCAACGTGAAGAACAACACCGCTTCTCGGAGGTGGCTCACATTAGGGTAACCTTCCAGAGGTGGGGGAAGAGTGGAGCAGTCAATCTCAAATCTCGAACTTCTTCCCAGGTAGGATCATCAGGAAAAGGATTAAATAGAGCCTAGATATAGCTCTCTTCACTCTCATTTAAGCGGAGGAGTCGTGCAAGCCTCAAAAAGTTCTTTGCCGTCATGTTCTACCCAAACTTACGGTAATTGAAGATCATGCTCTGGCCCGGAGTGGAACCATGAATGACGGTTGCCTAGAGGTCTTATGCTCACGAAGAGCGTGATGGGCGCCTGTGTAGGAACGTCAAACGTCAAAATTCAACCGCCGAGGTCCGTCCTACCTCCGCCAGCAGAGCAACCTGGTGTAGGGCACCTGACAGGAGGGCCCGTCGCGTGGCGGCAAGGCAAGGTCGCAGACTGGACGAGTCAAGGCGCGTGCTATGTGATGTAAGCGTACTATATGTAGTGCATTACTATTTAAGTTTACGCGAAATCATTGCAGCACGGCTGCAACTCGTCCGCTCCGTCTGCGTCTCTGCCTTCTCGCCGCGCGATGGGCCTACTGTCGGGTATCCCCCACTACATCTTTGTGACTTACCTTCTCCACGCATCTTACCGGAATGGACCTAACGACATTTAAGACCAGAGTAGTTTAACATATAATTATTATAAAAATTTTATGCTCGAAAGTGAAGAGAACTCTGTGAAAGAAATTTCAGTAACGTTTCAAAGTAACTTATGAGCACCTCTCTGGTCGTGGAGTGTATTTCGAGGTGCTCGTTCCTTTAGTAGGCGGTCTGAAAGTTGATCGTTTATCTAAGGTGCCCACTCAATATTCATTCAAACGTGCTGATCGAAATGACCCACAGAGCCCGAGCCATACAGTGTTCATGAAGCACCACAGCTCAATTCCCAAACAAGGGTGAAACTCACCGAAAAATATGATTTTCAGATTTGGGATCAGTACGACTGCCCGATGTGTAGGTGTGAATGTTCCCATCCCAGTCATCGTATTCTTCGCTTATTTCTGAAAATATGCCAGTTCCGAGATGGAAGTTCAGAATTTAGTACTATTGTTAACAAGAAAACGTAAGAACGGATTGAGTTATTCTATACTAAAATTCTTCATATGTCAATGCCTCAAGAGCATTGCAAATGAATGAAGAAATAAAATGAAATAAATCAATAAAGTAA